TTCTCTGATATTACCTGAAATCACGGTTTTCTGTACTGTAAATTTTTAATTACCTGCAGAGGTTGAACAGAATTTGTCATGCCCCACTGTATAGTACCCTCTTAAACAAATATGTAGTAATTTATTTTCAATAAAAATTTTACTGAATTGCAAGTTTTCTGAATTCAATTAAAAGTAACGGAACGGAGATTAAGATCAAAAACTAAATATTTTTAAAGAACAAAATAATAAAAGTGCAAAATGATATAAATGTAAAATAAAACTGAGTATTTAAATTAATATCTAATCAAAAAATGAAACTGATTTACACAAATTAATATTTATATTTTCGCAAGAAACTTATTTCAGAAAGATTTGAAATTATTATCAGCATGTTCACAATAACACACCTAAAAGTCAAATTTGAAGAGCAAAGCTTCACATTTAAAATGTTTAAATTAAATAGTCTCATTTACTAAAGGTAAAATTTTTTTCAATAAGGCAATTTTATTGCTATTTTTTTAATATTATAGTATTCTTTTAAAAACTCAAAAACAATGATCGAGATTTGAACATCACAAACGCCATTTAACAACACTCAAAATATTTAAGAAAAAATCAAAAAGTTAATTTATAAATATTAAAAAAATTAGAAATTACCAGATGCAACCAGAAAATTTCCTTGCTACAATCTTTTGCAGAATGTTTTCTACACCATTTCAAGCGAAACCAGCCTGGATGAAACGTAAACACCGTTGGGCTAATTGAGTTTGTTTATTGCTTAATTGCAATAACATACATTAGCAGGTTTGTTTGCTCAATTTAGGCTTATAAGCCTTTGTCAAGTAGAAGAAAGATAGAACAATTTAGATAGGGGCATAACAAAGAATAAGTCCAGAGTTACGGTGGGATTCGAACCTGCCACCTCCACATTGAGTTTATTCGGTCAATTTGCGAATCTTCGTGACTGTCGAGGTCAGAGTTAGTCTAAGTCAGTCAGATCATAACCACCTGACCAACACCTTCTAGTAGGTGTTGATCAGACTCCCTCACAGAGCGATTTTCTCGTTCTGCTAAACGCTCCGTAGATTGGAGATAGCGGATACGAATATTGTTTTAACTCTGGATGTATCTGTGTTGTCTTTCTCTAACTTAAGATGACCAGTGTCCTCAAAAAACAAAAAGACTAAAACAACATTCGAAAAACTCACGCATTTGCTTTTACAATTATTAAATAATTCTCTAAGAGTTGTTGTTCATTTACGTCGCACTAGAGCTGCACAATGGGCTATTGGCGATGGTCCGGGAAATAACCCTGAAGATGATCTGAAGACATGCCATCACAATTTTGATCCTCTGCAGAAGGTATGGCACCCCCGCTTCGGTAGCCCGACGACCTGCATGCGAAGTCGAGCACTTTACGGTAGAACAGTTTAACGAGGACCAATACCGCGCACCCTCGGTCCACACGCAGGCTGATCCAAGTGGTCCCCCACCCGCACACTGACCGTAGCCAGTGATGCTTGACTTCGGTGATCTGCTGGGAACCGTGTCTTAACGATCAGCCCACTGCGAGTTCGTTTAGAAATTTCACCACCAGCTGATAAATTTTCCGAGGTCAGCTTACTTTAACTTGTACTATTTGTTCTTCACATTAACAAGGGCTTATAAGCCGTATTTGAAGTGAGCACAGAAGCATGCAATCTCCCAGAGGTATTGATTAGTTTTGGAAACTTGGATGACTTAATGTCATATTTAGCATAAGAAACAATAAATAAAAGAAAGGGATAGCCTGGCTGTTAAGGAGTTCGACTTCTCTTGTACAAAATGATTACTGGTGAACGCTAAATATGACATTAAGTCATCCAAGTTTTCAAAACTAATCAATACCTCTGGGGGTACTAGATCGGTTGTTGTTGTTGTTAATTTACGTCGCACTAGAGCTGCACAATGGGCTATTAGCGACGGTCTGGGAAACATCCCGGAGGAAGATCCGAAGACATGCCATCACAATTTTGATCCTCTGCGGAGGGGATGGCACCTCCGCTTCGGTAGCCCGACGATCTGCTGGGAACCGTGTCTTAACGATCAGCCGCTTCGGTAGCCCGACGATCTGCTGGGAACCGTGTCTTAACGATCAGCCGACGACCTGCGCGTGAAGTCGAGCACTTTACGGTAGAACAGTTTAACGAGGACCAATACCGCGCACCCTCGGTCCACACGCAGGCTGATCCAAGTGGTCACCCACCCGCACACTGACCGTAGCCAGTGATGCTTGACTTCGGTGATCTGCTGGGAACCGTGTCTTAACGATCGGGACTCTAGATCGGTAATTGATTGTTCTGTGGTTGAGGTCAAGATTAGGATATGCGAATGAATGGTGCGCGAATGTGTCCTTCCTGTAAAACGGGATGTGACAATATGTCGTATTCGTGGCCTTAAATGGCACCACTGAATATTCTCTTTCTCAAACCTCATCAATGGAAACACATGTTAACGAAAAAAGCTTGTCTATATTCTACAATAACAAAAAACTAGACAAATTTGACGCTTCATTGGGGTTATTTTAATTATTGTTACGCACATACATGCAGGGCTAAATTCGTAATCAACAGTGGCGGCTCAGAGGATAGAGCGTTCGCCTTCCAATGACGTCAGCCAGGTTCGAGTACCAGTAATGGTTGGTCGATACGAATTCCGCACGTGGCTTGCAACAATCACAATGCCGAGGTAAAACATCCTCAGTGGTAAACAGATCACGTGTTAGAGTAACATTGCTGTCAGGTCAACCTAGGAAGTATTTCCTTTCCCCGAAACGCAAGCGCAGGTCAGTTCAATCAAAAATTCTCCGCATAGGTTAGTTTGACCAAACGCTTGGAACAAATTCCTACGTCTTCTGGGTAGGAACTTTTTAAGCACTAAAAATATTTAGTTCCATACAAAGGAACTCTTTTTCTTGATTATATTATAGACACCATAAAAAAAAATGGGGATTTCTTCGAACTCTCTGAATTTGGTTCGATTTCAGAGGGAAGAAAAATGAAGGCGGAAATTGAGAATATCTTGCTAAATGTAGCAGAGCTGCATATGAAAGTGCAAGAATCTCACCGGACTGAGCTCAGTAGTCACTGCTAAGTATTTCATCAAACACGTAACATGATTGGCGCTATCATACGATACGGACCGACGGCACGCCGAAATGGATTGCGGTTGAATGGTGAAAACGTTTAATAGAACACGCAGCGAAAATCGACAAGGTAAAGCAAAAAAATCTCATTTTCGCAACAGGAAAATTAGGCACTTTTAAAAAAAACACCTTTAAGGGCTTTTAAAAAACGAAAATAAGTACCTTTAAGCACTTCATGCATTGTAATGGCTGGATTTAAAACTCGCTACAGACCATTCGGCGAAACCTTTTCGTCCCCTTAGCCCAGCAGTATTTATTGTACTGCATACAGAACATTACATTTAATTTATATACAGTATTACATTGAATATATGAAAGAGCTCGGTTCTATTAGTTGACATCTTAAGTAATAACCTTTTTCTTCATCTTCCAAATCTCACTGACAGTATTGACAAATTCAAAGAACATTTTTTCGTGTATTCAACCCTGATAAAATTAGAGAATAAGTTTCAACGAGAAAAGTTAAAGACCGTTCTGTGAAATATTCTTTTCACACAGTTCATGGCTTTAGAAACCATGGGTGATATTATATAAACAAGGAAAAATCAAAAAATATTCTTCTAAGTAGCCAAGCAAAAAGGAGTAGATGAAAATTTCCCCTTAACAGTGAATTATTTGGCGAAATTTCAAGGATATTAGTGGGCGAGGGTATTGTCCTTTCTTTAAAACTTTCAGAAGTTTGCATCTTTGTGCTTTTTTGAAATTTATTAGATCTGTTCCTCAATTTGATTTATGTCGTTTTATGCATTGAGCACAAAAGCTTGCATAGGAATAGTGAGTTTGGAGCAAACCTGAAAGAACAATACTTTCTGAACTATAATCCCACAGCTACATTCTAGATTTTGATCCAGGAACATCGAGACTGGAAACTAGACTCGACGACATTTTGCACCAAGTAGTGCACATTGTGGTCCCCAAATAAGATTCAAAATCTACCACTGAACTTTTCAATCAATAAAGTGAAAAATTGTACACATCTAGATCTTCCTATCTTTATTGAAACTTCGCTTGCAAAGTATTTTTGGCATACTAAAAACTAATTCGAATGCACCAGTTTATCTACGTTCCACTGTTTCTTTCATTTTGACAAAAAGCCTAGTTTTAGAAAAATACACACAATGAAGAAAAAACATCTAATTTGAAAAGTTCGAAATAATTGAAATCATCTGCCTTTGTGATCTTAAATGACACTGGGACAAAATTAGATGAATCAGTTTTTAAGTATCTCTTTCTAGTGTGTGATTGATTAGTTTTTTGATTAAATCCTGTTTTATCCTTAAACTTGCATTTTCAAGGGAATTCAAGGGAAGAATTGCTTTCATGTTAGTTGAATTGAATGACACTGCTTACATTCTAATTAAAACTTTTGTTTACATTTTTCTTAACTAATGCATGCAAATTAACTTTAAACAGTACCTGCATTTTTTTTAAATTAAAAAAAAAAAAATGTAATGCTGGTACTGTTTCGAGAGTTCTAAAAATAAATCTGTAAAATACTACTTTAGATGCTTAATTGTGGTAACATTTAGTACTGTATATTAGGTAATATTATATGCATACTAATATTGATACTGTGGTAAATTTATTTTTAATTTTTATATGCTCCCAAAATTTACAAGAATTAATCCTTTTACAAATTGTATAACTTTTGAATTTTATGTTAAAGAGAGAACAATCAGTAATCCATATAAAGTTAGGTTTTGCAAGCTCAACAAACAATGTAATCCCTTAGTTTAAAATATAACTACCATTTTCTAAATAATTAAAAAAAGCCACCAATTCTATCTTTCTATACTTAGAAATTATAAAAATTTACACAAAGAAATCACACATATAAGAATTGAAAAAAGTTTATTTTTTGTTAAATGGCAGTTTGGCAAAAATATTTGATTTGAAAATGCATTTATTTGTACTTGAATACAATAAACCTTTAGAAGTTTCACATATCCATTGAGAAGCATTTTATTTGTATATGTTTATTGCGATATCTTTAGAAGAAATTTAGACAATTTCAAGGTAATTAAACAAAACAGATGAGCCACATCTTTATTTTTAGTCTCAAAACCATAATTAAAAATTCCAGAGTATACAATGACATAATGCTATAAACTGAAACTCAACATTGCACAATTTTTCTGGCCATTTTTCCAAACAATTTTGTGTCATAACAATACATATTACAACAAATTCAAGAAGGGCAAAAGAAATACAGCGACTAGCACGTTTTATGTTCAATGAGGTAGAAAATAAACTTAACGCTCGAAAATTTATAAATAAAAATATTGGAATCCAGCACCAGCTAGCAAAATGTAGCACAGACTAGAATAGGATTCCAAATAGAGCACCAAGCTCAAAATTACTTTTTCATTTTATGTCCAATATTGCATAGTTTTATAACAATTGCACTGACCATAGAGATAGATCGTTATTCTTGAAGGAGAAACTTATTTTTTAAATTCTTTGGACCGCCTTTATCACATGCATAAAAAAATCCACAATAAAATTTAACGGAAGTGTTCCTCCAACAAGTTATCAAAAATAAACTTTTCATAAATATATTTCATTTACAAATAAAGAAAGGAAACAAGCAGCCACAGAAACAGTGGTCTTTTTTTTCTTAAAAGTTTTGTACTAACTAAATATTGGCATTTATATAACTTTTAATAACATCTCAGTTGATTTGTTCGCAAAACTCCTACAAATACCTCTGCACAATTAAACTCTGCAGATTTTTTTTTTTAAAAATTATTTGTGATAAATAGAATAATCATTATGTTAATTTTTCTGTCATTTTTGGAAAGTCAATTTAAATGTATAATACAACATTGTAAGCATCACAGAGATAGGTACAGAGGTTTTGTACAGTTTTTTAAATTTATTTAGTTACAGTTTGTAGTGTAGGTTGAGACATTCGTCGTCGTGGTTGCTGTTGTGGTTGAAAACCATTGCTCTTGTATACAAGAGCTCTTATCTGCCGCTGGGCAGCCTAAGAAAAAAAGAAAGCAAGAATTACAACAAAGGAAAGAAAAAATTCTAATAAGTGGCATATAGTTCGCTCACCAAGAGTTGGCACTTTGCTCCACCCAGGGGTGATTGTGAGCCCAATTCAAAATTCCGGAACATTTTTGGGATTAAAAAAAAAACAGTTTGAATTGAAAAATTAGAAATAAATTTAAGCAAGTTTTTTTCTTCCTTTTTCTAAATATTTCTTGGTTTACTTAAAATATATTTCAAATTTTACACATTCCTATACCATTTACACATACCTATGATGACCTGGAGAAGTAATTAAAGTTTACAAATATATCTTTCTTTCTTGAGTTAACAATCATAATAACTATTTGCTGATGGAAAAAAAATGAATATTAACCATGAATATAAGTTTGTAAATTATCTGGCTCTCCCTTACAAACAAATAAAATAAATTGTGTTTTTAAGTTCCACCTTTGAAAATGTGATTTTCGGAAATTTCTGCGACCAATGATTTGTTTGAAACATCTGGACCTTCGATCTCCGGAAACTTCCGGATCACTGTTAGCGAAAAATCTGGAAGCCCGAATTTTTTCTGGAGCACAATCAGCCTTGTCCACCTCCTTGGCCGAAGAGTTCATATCACCGTGGGAGTAAGTGGAGGAACGTCTCCGAGCTTCAAATTGAGACAACCATTAATGCGAGCCAAACGCAAACAGTGATTTATTTTTCAGTCACTTACTTCGCTTTATCCTCTGCTATTATACTTTATGTTACTCTAGCTAATTAAATATATTTTAAATTTAAAAACTGCTGTTACCTCAGCAAAATGTCTCAAAAAGGATAAACTATTCACTCAAAAGAGAAATATCAAATTTATGTAAAAAATGTGCATAAAGATTGCGAAATAAATATTTTTGTCATACGATTGAAAAAAGAAAACCCAACATTGTTCATATCCTTCTCCCAAAAAATAGCGAAATCGTATAGTAGGATACTATGGGATGAAGGCGGAGTCAAGTGCCAACTCCTGGTGAACGAACTACAGCTGTCTCTTAAATGTATGCCCATCTTTCCTTTTCAGAATCAAGACAAGTCTTAGTGACCAGACAATTTTAAAACAGAATCTTTATTATTTGTAGTAATTAGTAACAAATCTACATTAGATATAAATTAAAACAATGACTTATAAAATATGAAGATATTTTGAACTATTGCCGTAGACAATACTTACATGCTCCTTTTTTTGAAGGAATCATTTGTTTGTACAAAGCAGCACTTAACTTTGAAAAGTTGATTAGAATTATACTCCTTTGCAAATACTGTAGGATTCCCCCTTCCTGATTCTATTTGCACCATAATGTTAAATTTTCTTGCACATAACTAAACAAACTAGTAACAATTAAATTTTCGGCAATGAAATCTAAGAGCATTCTTTAGCAAAATCCCAACCAACTTTTTCAAACAACAAAAAGCTTGTTGCTCACATAAAATGAACATTTTTAGGAAGTTTAGTATACACTGCTTATTTTGTACAGCTGAATTATGACAATGTTGTTCAAATTAAATTGAGAAAACTTATTTAAGGCTTATGTAAAGGAGAAAAAAAACTGAAATCTACTTAGGCTAACAGAAATGTTTGTATAAAAAAGGTTTGGGTAATATTCTACCGTATTTTAAGATTCTTTATAATAAAAAAATTGGTGGATGAAGGCTATTTGCGACATTTCAATGAAGCAGGATTTCAGGAAGCAGACTTCTACACAGGGTTATACGATACTTTAAATAAGCCTACATACACATTTGTTATTACACTACAGCAACATACACAGTGACAACTTTAGACCTAATTGAAAAAAATATTCAATAATAAAAATGACTAGATATTTGCATTTAGTTTATGACTTGATCAACAGGCTTGCCATCAATTTCTGTGCGGTGGCACAAGAATCCATAACAATATTGCCTTAAAAAAATTAGGGGAGCAATGACAAATTTGCTCTGATTGATTTAGACTCAAACACTATTCTGTTCTTTTTCAGTAAAAATGCATGCTCTAATAAATAATTTAAAAAAAAAATCCCATAATGCCCAGCTAAGTTTCTATTGAACCTCTTCAAGTAGTTAAAAGTCCCCCCCCCATACAGTTTAAGAAACCAAACTAAAGATCCAAAAAATGTGTAGACATCCCTTGTAACTTTACTCTGTAATTCAATCAATATGCATCAAATATAATTAAAGACTCACTTGTGTGCAATAAAAATCACCAATAATGTGGACGGATGTCTCATCAGATTCTTGGGTTCTAGCATCTTCAGGGAATTTTATAAGAGCATGTGTTACTCGCTGCAAATCTCTTACCTACAAAACACAATAAACCTTTAAATAGCAATTACTTTACAATAGCACAACTGAAGAATGGTTAACTATAGTCTGTTCAACGAGAACTGATAGTGAAAGTAAACAAAGCGGAGTGCTATTTGGTGCCGGAATAATGACAAATAGCGCCTATCAGTCAGCAAAAACTTTTATTTCTTAGAGCAGTGTTTCCCAAACTTGTGTCTTTTGTGTACCCCTTTCTAAATTTTCTGTATCGCTGTGTACCATTAATAAAAAAATGAATGTATTTTTTACTATAAACAAAAGTTAAAAATCACAACTAGCTGTTGACACTACTAATTTTTAACTGTTAACTCTGCAAAAAATATTCAACAGAAAAATACGTAATCGTAAATTTTCATGGCTAGCTTTGCTTTTAAATAAACTTTTTTGAAATTTTTGTTTGTTACAAGATATTTCTCATAAGAACGCATACCCCCACTAAACTGCTCCCGTACCCATGGGGGTACGCGTACCACACTTTGGGAAACACTATCTTAAAGGGTTGTTTGTTTCGCCGTGGTCTTTTTGCAGGTGTTTCATGAGCAATATGGAAAATAAAGTGATGCTTTTAAGTCCTCCTATAAAACGGCAGGAAACTGAGATGGAAATAATATTGAACATTTATAAAACAGAAGTGCATTAAAAACCAGATGTTCCAATCATGATGCGGCTTCTGCATCGGGAGTTAGCACAGCTTCTGTTTTCAGAATTATTAAAGAATATAAAAGGGATGGTATATTACATTCACTGAAGACGACTAAATTTCGTAAAACTTTTTTGGATGACATTGACGATTTCTACAAAAATGCTGTAAGAAGAAAAGTTCATGATTTTTTCCGCCGTAACGGAATTCCGACAAAAAACAAAGTTCTCAAAGCTGTGAATAATAATTCTGAATTACCAAACTTTAAAAGAACAACATTTTATTCCCTGTTAAAAAAATTAGGCTTCAAACATCAAAAATCTACCTAATTTTATTTTTACTTTTTAATGATATAATGATTCGTTATTATCCATAATTGATTTCATTCTTAATACAGTAATTCTTAAAATTTTGTTCTTTTCTGCGTAGTTTAATATAATTATTTTTGTTTTCAGTACAGTTATTAATTAATTACAAAAATTCAAATGCTACTTAAAATTAAATAATTTTGATACTTCATTCCATTTTCAAAAACCTATTGAATCGAAGCTTACAAACTGCTTTTTTTTTTTTATAAGTGGGTATATTTTTCTTAACTAAAGATTTTGTGAGACATATAAGAAAGTTCCAAGTTTCTTTTAGTGTAATTATTTTCGTAATACTTCCCTTAGAAAAATAAAGATAACAGTTTAAAAATAGAAATAAATGCAGTTCCTTCAAATATACGAGTATTTTTAAATCAATCGGTGAAACATAAAACTATTTTAAATATTATTCAACTTTTAATAAATTTTAAAAAAAAATTGTAATAATGAAAATAAAAATTATTTTTTTAAACATATTCTTTCAATTCTATACGACTTTTACGATGGAATTATAAAAGTTATATTTTGCATAGATATTTATGCAAAATATATTAAAGCTAATTTAATTTTAACTTTAAAAAGAATACTTTTAACTATTTTCAAAATAAAATTATGTGTTTGCTGAAATAATTAGAAACATATATTCATGCAAATATTTTAATTTTGCACTTTCTTACCTAATTTTAAGGTATCAAAAACTGAATATCGCTTTCGTTTTTCTATGAAAGCGAAAGCTCTGTTGATTCAAACGAAATCGCCAATTCAGCGAAGAAACCGTTGAAGTGGCAAACGTTGGCGATCTAACAGCAACCCTTATGTTTACTTCCACTATCAGTTCTCGTTGAACAGACTATAGGTTCAAAGAAGTTTCAGTGGGCAAATTATAAACCATGATGTTTATTAAATTAGTGTATCACATATTCTTAACCAATCACAATTTAAGGATTACTAGATATGGGAAGTTAGAAAAGGACAGAAATAAGAAACAGAACTTTTGGAATTTATCAATAACTCAAAGCAAAATATTTTTAATTTAATACATAAATTTATATTTTTTTTTTATTCAGACTTCTTAAAATATTAGCCACAGATTTAAATTTTGACATCAGGTTTAAATAGGTAAGTGGTTTACATAAGTTAAAACAAAATTAAACTTATTAGAACAAAATATTTTATTGGCAATTTAGAATTTAGTTTTAAAGGTTTACATTATTTACTAACATTTTAAAACATTAAGATTTGTAGTTAAGTTAAAATAAATGGAAAAAAAGAAAGAAAAACTTACAGTTTGACCACCTTTGCCAATGATGCGTCCAACTTGATTTGTGGGTACAAACATTTCTACTTTTAAAGTAGCTTCTTGGGGTCCAGGATAACCTTCAAAGCCAACTTTCTTGAAGATCATAAATTGGGCCTAAAATAAATGTTAAAACTCAATTTTTTGTTGTTGTCAATAATGCAATTAAAAATAATGTTTCTGGTTGCAAGTTTAAAATTTTTTTAAATGGAAAGGAAATTTTTTCTGGTCAATTTACTTCACACCAACAAAACATTTGGACAAATTTTCTCTCAAAATCTGATGCTGAGTAGAAGAAAAAAAAAATTCTTTATGAAACACAAAAGTGGGAATAAAAAGTCTGAAAATACTTATCAACTTGAATCATAGAAAAATAAAAGCCCACAAAACTATTTTGCCCAAAAAGAAAACATTAAGATTATTAAAAAAAATTTTCAGTGTACATAGTTCAAAAAACTTTAATTGTATACACAAATCGTGATTAAAGAGAATAATACATATATATAAAAAAAAAGTAGAAATATTTTTGCAAATTTTTTTCACCAGATGAAAAAGCCAACTATGATTTTTATTTTGACAAAACTATTTTTGCTTCATGTTGGAAAAAATCCTTTCAAAAACAGCCTTAAAGGGATGAGGGAAGATAAATTGATTGTATATTCTTCAATGTAATTGTTCTCCAATGTAATAATTCAATGTAAATTTTTTCTTTAAATAAAATTTTAAAAAAAACCCTCACTTTTTTTTAGATTTTCACAATTGGAGATCATGAAATTGCAAAAAAAAAAAAAAAAAAAAGTATTCAATTTGTTATATTCTGTTAAATTTGGCTAATTGTCCAATCCAAATTGGATTGGACAATTAGCCAAATTCCATTGCCAAATTGTTAGACAAACCTCATGCCCGCTGTAAGGTACCATTAAAAAAAGTAAAATTAATTCTTAAGTTGAATTCTTCAAACAGATAGAACATACAAGAATTTATTAGAATTAGAACAAGACCAGAACAGCAATTGTTAGTTAAGACACAAACTATACCAATTTGAATAAAAAAACTGGTAACATATTTATAAGATTGCCCCATAACACTGGAAAATATGGTAAGTAAAATTCTTACACACTAGGTATTTCCATTCAGCCTTAATAATTCTAGTTTAATCTTGTGCTCACATATGATCAACAATTTGCAAAACTCTTTGAAAACTGATTTTAAAACAGCTGTTTGGTTAAATATAAATAATTTGAACCTTACATTGATGCACATAATGCAGCCCTTGCATTAATAAATTTACAGTTACTAACTAGTCAATGATCTGCATTAAAAGCAACACAGCAGGGGAAAAAAATGGAAAAAGGAAAGTTTGAAGAAAATCATATTACACTATTTAAACAATGGTACAATAGTAAGAAAAAAGTTGAAAAATAGAATTAAACCTAGTTTTTGTCAATCATACACAACATTTAATTCAGGAAATTTACTTTAGTTCAAATACTTTAAACTGCTTATTTCAATAATAATATTTTGCACTATTTTTTTTTTTTTTTACTGTACAAAAAAGAAAAGTACATTTCATATTTTAATTCCAACTTAACAGAATTTAATTTTCTTCACTTTTCAACATGTTTTCAATTGTTTCGAACTTAGACATAAACAAAATCAATTATTGGTCGTAATATATCAAGTATTACCTTCCATTGAGAATCTGATGTTCCAATTATACAGACTTTTCTTTCAGACTGTTTTTCTAAAGGTTCATCCTTTCCTGGTTGGATCACCTAAGAGAATAAATATTTACAAAACAAACAGAATGTAATTATCATATCACCCTTATCAATTTAAAAATGTATAAATCAATAATTTCCCTAATAAAAATTTATGCAGTTTTAAAAATAGATATTTTTTGGAAGTGACCAAGTGTTAAAACTATTCAACTATATTCTTTTTTTGTGCAATTTAAACTTATATTTAAAAGAATCTTAAGAGCAAAAATTAGGACAGCAAAAGACGAAATTAGTAAGATTTTTTAATATTAGCTGACCTAGTTTAATTTATTTTACGATTCATATTAGTTAAAAGACTGAGTGTTTGCAATGTAATATGATGTCCAAGGCTCCCAACATGGAACAAGTAAAATAAGAAAAATAATGACTTAAATACCATCACAGACACCTCACAATTACATGAATTGCCAACACACTAGAGCAATTTAAGTTGCCCATTGAAAGGGCACTGTAATTAACGTCTGGCATTTAGCTGGAAATTCTTACACAATATTTAAAAAGATTGGACCACCACACTATATGAAAACTTAAAACACCTAGCAACAAAAGCAAGAAGTATAGTATTTGATGACGAAACTAAGATTTTTTTTAATTAAATTATTTAAGTTCCACTTTAAATAACACGAGGAGCTAGAGTTTCCGAGTACGCTGCTCTGAATAAAGATTGCAATGTTTAATTAGTATTCCACTATATCAGTTATAAAAAAAAACAAAGCTTCGATATTTGCGGTAGAGAGAAATTAAAATAAGTTGACTAGTCTTGATACAAGTTAACAGGTGATAGCAATACTTAGGAGATAGCTGAAAATACTTTTGCTATAAAACTAGTTTGAATTATACAAACCGCCAATTAAAAGCCCATTCTAAATTTCTTTGTAACTTAGCTCTAGTTTAGTTACGAAGATCACTAGTAGATAAATATAGAAATTATGAAAATAATTAACTCTTGTTCAATAAATTGTACTTGAAAATTAATGGAAATAAAATTAATTGATAAAATTTATGGAATTAAGCCTCAAGATCGTACTAATGGGAAAAAAATCTGGTACATTCCTTTTAAAGAAAAAAAGAAAATTAAACTGGTGCAAATACTAAGTTACTATATGTTTTAAGATGTGCTTAAATAAAGATTTTTAGTTTCATAATAGTACCTTTATGCTAGCTCCTGAAGAGCTAATCATGTCTCTAATAGTACTTCCGCCAGTTCCAATTATTGCTCCAACAGCAGTGCTGGGTACGTATATATAGACTGTTTCTTTCTGTAAATCAAATGAAGGTGGCAAGGAACTCTGATTATACCCTAATGGCATACAGGGTGGAGGTCCGTACATTCCATAGGAGCCACCAGGAGGACTTCCCCTAGGAGGTGGCACAATCCCTGGAGCACACGTAGTAGACATCATAGCCATTGGATGAACACCAGGATACATGTACGTTTGGGAAGCCATAGCTGCAAGATCATTTTCGTAACTTTGTCGTAGTTTCGAACTTATCATCCGCTCGGATTTACTCATGTTCTCAAGTTTTCCTTTAACTGTGATGACACGTTCCAGGTTAAAGCTGCTTACGTCATGTATGTTACTAAAAAGAAAATTCATGATGTTATGGCAGGTTAAGCATTGACCGATAAGTTAACGAGTCCCTACCCACAAAAAATAGGCAATTTAAATAATTTTATTGGAAATTTTAGAAGATACACTATTGTAAAAGTGAAAAAGGATTCACTCAATTTCAGAAAAAAATTCCCCGACTTTTCCAGGTAAATTTCAATGAAAATCCATACCACATTTTATCTATACTACGAAATTTTTCATCAGAAAATTTGGATTCTTTTATTTGTTATGCCAAGTATCAGACCTTTTGTGTAAAATAAATATTATATGAGAATGGAAGCATTTCAGTATGTCTAAAATGTAAAATTTTTACAATAAATAATTGTATTAGATGTTAGAATTATTTAATTCGAACCTCAATAACTGACAATTTTAAGACTGGTTTTTTCCAGTAATAATGAAGGAATTTTCCAGGTTTTTGTAAGAAAATTGCAACTTTCCCTGACAATTACAGGATTTCCCTGTTCTCCCTGATCCGTGTGAGCCCGGCAATTTAAAATAAATGTTAAATGCAATAACTTTTTAACAATTCTATTGGCAAACTAGACTAAGTTCCATTTCTACATTGACAAAGGCAACTTATAATGGTACAAATTGATGAAGTTTTAATATTACACAATATTTAGATATTGAATAATACAGTGAAGAACAAATTTGCTTACATTTATGGCACTAGAATAAGTTAACTAAATATGTAGCATAATAGAAAAAGAAATATAAATTTGAATCTCCAGTTTGTAGACAAAGATAAAATATTAAATATTATAGAAATATATTGATTATTAAAGTAAAGCTGTAAATTTACCTAGATACAGCAACTTTTGTTTCTGTCTGTTCCATGATTCTTTTAATGGTGCTGCCATTCTTGCCAATTATCCTTCCAATAAGATTATTATGGGCTAAGATCTTTAATGGTATTTCCCTAAAATAAATACTTCATTTATAAAAGGAAAAGAGGAACTTCAAACTTTAAAAAAAAAATCCAAATAAGACAATTTTGTTTAACACGTTGACTGCTGCGTCATGCATATTCGTGTGACAGCAAAGTTTCTAACCGAGACGCGTCACCCAAATTTGGATGACGCTTATTTGAATACTGGCGAAAGATATTTGTATGCATTTGAAAAAAGATTTCACAGGAAGTGACAAAACTATTGAATTGTTATAAACGTAATACAACAATTATTTATTAAAAAAAATTGCGAACCTTGTAAAAGCTCTCTTGTTCACTACTATTTGACTCACTAAGAAATAAGATTTCCATTTTTCTTTTCAAAATTTCAACGAACTAGGGTAAAGATTTTTAAGTTTTACTCCTCCTTACTCAAAGATTCAGTAAAGTTCGTGTAAAGTGGTGAGATGAGAAACAGATGCAAAACAACGAACACAAATAAACAGACATGATACCATGGAAACAAATGGAGCGAGATATTATTCTTGTGACCACTTGAGACTCATTTTTAAAAGATTGGGAGTACTTAGTAGAATATGCTTCATATAGCAGTACTTGTGGCCTGAATTAGATTTCACTGTAAATGCGAGTGGCAGTCAACGTGTTAACAGGAGAATTAAAGAGTTTATTGGACAAACATAATTTAAATTAGCAGTGTTATAGCAGTATTAAATTAGCAGCAATTAATGTTATATATTCACAATCAATCCAAGAAGTTAAACCTTTGAAATGTTTTTAGAATCTTTCTTAAAATTTAATTGTAATTAGATCTTTAATCTGTGTTTCTATTGGCAAGCCAGTGTTTCCTTAAGGATTTGAATGTTTACATTCAATGAAAGATATTATGCTAGAAAAGGAACCCAATAAAATTTAACTGAAAAATGCATGCATACTTAAAGAGTTATCTCTAATAGTTCCCCACAAATGTATCAGTGAAGAATTTTTTAATAATAACCATTAGAACATTAAAAAAATTAAATTCACATATCAGATGAAAGACAAGCATTTAATCTAATTTACTGCTTCTCCTTTGTCAGCTATACTAGAAAGAATTTTTCTCTAACTTTAAATAAACAGGGGTCAGTCTAGGTTTTTCTGAGAGGTACCTATCTTGTGGAAATTAAAAATTATCTTAAAAAATCAACACAAAAATATGGATTTATTGCTTCTTGCGAGACACAAAAATAAAATTTTAGGAAAAAGTATTTTGTGAAACTACAGTTTTTCCTAAAGTTGAATTTGTGAAGGTACCCCTAAGCGGTAGTAAATTTGGCTTGGACAGACCCCTGATAAATATAGCAAATAAATAGAGAATTTTTTTGCTAATTATTGTTCCAATAATACTTTTTACTATCATTTGTTTTAAAATATAGCTTGAATTTAGATGATATTCACTGGAAACTAATAAATTTCACATATTCGTACAGTAAAACCTTGTTTATTAGTTCCAGATTTACTTTATTAACAGCTTTAAGCTGTAATGTGAACATGTTGAACCATTTTATATCAGATACTGTAGCAATGTTTTTAGCAACATCCCCCTTCACAGTAATCTATATAATTTCATACATTTCCTATTGTAATATTAACATGAATTTAGCTGAGATACCATAAATTATATTTATTAATCAATAAACTTATTCAAATATATCAAGAAAAATAATCAGTTGATAAAAAATTGTTTAAAACTGGAAAACTTTTATCTATAGATTGATTCATTACAGAAAATAAGAAATCGTTGGGAAAAAAAAAGTTAAATTGGAACCTTTAAGTTTTCAGAAAATTCATAGTTCACATTCTGCTTTAAAAAGTAAACACACAATACTTTTATGGCTATGACTAAAGTCTATTTCTTTTAAGCCAACAATGCAAAACAAGTTTGTGAATAAGAACTATATTAAGTTATACGAAGTATTGAAAACATTGTTCGCTGGAGTTTTGCATAGATTACATTGGTTAGATTTCCATAGCAGGGATGTTGGGATTTGGCGCAGAGTATCTAGCCATGAAAAGACTACAACTTTTTTTGTTATATTTTTGTTGAGTTTCTAATTGTAATGAATTTGAATGTAGTAATTGAAATTTAGATCAACACAAGCTAAAGTTAAAGGCTATGATAAAAAAAAAACCTCATGAAACATAAAATTACTAAAAACAGTCCACATTAATGCAGGTGAAGAAACAGTTTAATCAAATGAATTCAATAAGAATAGTATAATTACCCCCTATTTGTAGTGTTAGCTTCTTGTTGCATAATTTCCATTATTTTTTGGCAAGCTGTGGAACAATTATCTGGAGTACCATAAATGGTGATTACCTGTAAAAAATAATAAATTGGCAATCCTTTTTAATTAACTAAGATTTTACAGACAAACACTATTAACAGGCAAATAATTTTTTGACTGAATATATTAGATGAAAACATTGGATTTTTCAAATGACTACAATAACCATCTTACTGACTATAGTAACCAGATAAAGATCAACTTCAAATATGAGATGACAGACAGTAGAACTAAAGAACTGAACTTCGTAGAACTCAAGTTTCAGAAATAGATAAAATTTCCATTAAAACTTACTACTTCTAATGTTTTGCTTTCTTTCGAAACTATGAAAGAAATACCCCAGAATATTAACAACAAAGCATTTTCTTTTTATTATAAATTAGAGAAAGAACTTTTTTTGAGTCTAAAATCAAGGAAATCATGACAGTTTCTCAGTGCAAGCTTTAAAATTTCAAAGGAAAAAAAAAATTTGAAATATGTATTTTTGTACATTTGCTTATAAAGGAAAAAGCTGGAATTCTTCAGTTCCTGATATAATGAATCACCCAGTTTAAGGAATAAAAATTTTAGTCCAGTTAAATGTAAAATCAAGGACTGATAAATTTAAGGGAAAAACAAAAAAAGCAGCATAAACTCTATGGGTAGACTTTTCCTTTATTATTGTGACCATTCTTGTACTCTGATTTTCCTGTTTTGTTGCCACCCCGATGTACTGATAAAAAATGTGCATAAACAAAAATACAGAAAACGATATTGACAACCAACCTTTTCAGGAGAACCAGCATTTTCCTTACGATGCACATCTACCCTGCAATAAAAATAATATTTTGTAAAATAATGTTATGTTTTTTACATTAATATCCCAAAAAGATGGAAAAATACACTGTAGTTATTAAAACACTGAATAACTGGCTGAAATGTCAGATTGTTCTTTACATAAAGGAGCAGGCTTTGTAGTCTGGCACACTGACCACTCAGCCTTCTGGGTGGCAAATATATATTTCAATTTTAAAGGCAATTCATTCAAGATTATAAGCTTTGTGAGCATTGCAGATATAAAAATATCCTTCCCGTACTTGCATTTACAATCTAAGTATTTGAAATAAACATTCAATATTTTGCCATAATTAGGGAAATTATAACATGCTTAGTTTTAATTTAATAGAAAAATGAAACTCAAATTTTAATATATCTTTTATACCACAATGTTAAAACTTAATTATTTCATATTATTAAAAACTAAAATTAGTATCAGAAAAATGGATTAAAAAACACATGGAATTCAAGCAAAATTCATTTTACCTCGCTCTAGATTGCTGAGTTATTTGTCTAATGGTTCCTCCTGCTCGACCAATGATAGCACCAACCATATCACTCAAAACAAGAATTCTACAAATAAACAGAAAAAAGGTAAATACCAATATAACATTAAAACAAGAACTAAATTTAGTGAAATAAGTATCGTACAAATATGTTGAAAATAAAAAAACTCATGCAATAGAAATTTAGAAACAAGAATAAAAAAAATAAAATAAAATAAATAAATAAATAAAAATAAACATTAAAAAGGATTCAAACTTTAATATAGATTTAAACATAAATGTGTGAAAAATACAATATAACACTGATTTTAGTTTAAGATAAAGTTTCACTGACAAATACTTAGATCCAAAGTAAGTATATAAAAATTGATGATACCTAAGAGGAAAGTCGTTTGATCTATACATTCCAGAATTGTTGAAAGGACGTGAGCCAGCTCTTCCTCTAGGTCCACCCCTTCCTCTACCTGCATCCATCAGGTATTCAGCTTTAAGAAATGTACCAGGTTGCAGTTGGTAATTGTTGAGCTGCTGTAAAGCCCTGATTTAAAGATTTATGGAATTAATAAGAAATAATTCAGATAAGAAAATAATAATTACTATATAAATTTTATTTAAACTGCTGAGACTATTGTTGTAATCAGGAAATTTTAAAAACTTTTTTTTTCTGGTCAATTTTAAAACTTTTAATTGGTAATGAGTTGTTAATTTTCTAAAATTTTAATAACCGTCGCTGAACAGCCTATTCAGTTTTATGAGTTTACGACTACTAATGTTCAACTCCGTAGCCTTGTAATTTTGAACCCAATCCAGAAGACAAGGGAACTCCTGGATCGACTATTGGGAGAAATTTGCCGTCGTGGAGGACTTTTTGATGGAGCTAACGCGTATTTGCGCAACATGGAGAGGAAAACCACGAGAACCTCCCACGGTTAGCCTGACAGCAAGGAGACTAACCCATGATTCGTCTACCACTGAGGATATTTCAAGTCAGCACTGTGGTTGGTGCAAGCCTGGATGCGGAATTCGTATTGACGGAGGTGCGAACCCGGTTCGCCTCGTTGGAAGGCGAACACTATCCCCTGAGCGGTTTTGAGACCAGCAGTCTGGGTTGTTCATTTGTAGAAAAAAAAAAGATAAAATTTGTTTCAATAATTTCAACTATGATTTTTGTTGACAACAAACAGAGAAAGACATGCTATTTCCCAAGCCCAAATCAGATCAATTTATGTTAGCAAATAGTATCAAAAATTATTTTTAAAAACTTTTTCTACATCCTTTTATGTTAAATATAACAGCATGCCAACGTTAGAAGCAAGATGCTTTCAATCACTCAATTTATTATAGGATTAAAAGTGAATTGATCCAGACAGCTTTAGGGACCACAAAATTTATCCAACACATAAAACCACTTGAAATATTAAACACAAACACAATTTTAGGTTTTATAAGATCAAAAAAAGCAAGTCCAGCAAACAAAACTAGACTCAAAAATTAAAATGCAAAAAATTGACAAAAGTTATTTTTATTTGTGAAAATGTAGATTCGCCAGTCTCTTTCATTACGGATCCATAGATGCTTTGATTTTTTTGTAATTTTCAAGTAGTATTTGGTCTCAACATATTTTAGCAAAATAATTTTTAATTAAGAGTAATGAAGAAAATCCTAAATGGCAGCACTAATCCAACTTTAATTGATGTAAAAAATATAAGGATATATAATGAAAAATAATGGAGAGGTAAATCTGATTTACTTCAAAAGCCTTCTCTAATAGAGAATATGATTTAGTTAAAGAAAAGTTTCCAATGAGTTGATCAAATATGAGAATGAAGGAAAAATTACTGCAAAATAATTTAAATAACTTGTAACAGATAAAAGTAATCTTATTAACAGTTAAGTAATCTTCGTATTCTTCTGAACAAAAGGAAATTAAACACCTTTGCCAAAAGCAAGTTGTATGACAAGTTCTAAAAGACTGCCAATTGCATTGACACAATGCCAAATTTGTTTCTACCCCCTCTAAAAGAAATTATATAAACAAGAAAAAATTTACATTTTATTTTACAATTAAAAAAAACTAGAAACATCTACACAAAGGGATCAATTTCAAGATTGAAAGATAAAATAATTATTCTTAATGAACGTAAATTTGTCCTTATTTAGTGTTTAAGGATCACAACTCATTAATTCACTGAGCATTTTACAAAATTTGCTTTTTAATCTGATAATTTCTGAATAAAATAAACTGAGAAAATGTTTAACAAAGTATATGGTGCCAGTTGGATATTAACATGTTAAGCAAAGGTGTAGAGCAATTTTTTTTATTTTTTATATAATACATATAAATTTCAGAAACATGCATTATGGAGACTGAGAATCTTAACTTTAAGAGAGGGACTCAATTATGGAGGCTGAGAATTTTAAATGTCTATGTTTAACATTGTAGCGTGGCACATTTGAAGGAAATTCTGCCCAACGAGTTAAGAGTCCACAAACAAGAAACTTGCTATTAAGTGGAATTTCTTTATAGAGTGAAATAATTTGAGGTACTGTAGTTTAACTAAAATAGTTAAGGGGAACAAACTATCTCCCTGCCGTAATAACATAATACATATCAGTAAAAAGCAGTAATGTTCCCTTGGAGACAAGCGCACAGACATAGATAGTAGCATACTAATGGTAAAGCAAAAAACTGATATCATGCTTTTCTTAGATAAGGCCCTACAGTTAAGTCTTAATGAGAAATTACGTGGAAGCCCCAACTACATAAATAAAATGTATTCGCCTTTGTGAATTTCACTAAAGAAAATTACTATTTATTTAAGTTGGACAGTTAAATTTGCAAGTCTGGAGCATTTTCCAGACTAGTATTTGATATGTAAATATAGAAGGAAAAAAAAATCAATAAAGTAAGCTGAATTACGGTTTTTGTTCAAATGTAAACAAAGAAATGTAACTGTTAGAAATTTTCACACACAAGAGACATTTCTTACACAATGTTAAAATACAGGAACTATTCAAACCAATTTTAATATAATGTAATTAGCATAGCTACGTTCTTATAAATTTTTTTAAATTTTTATTTTTTTCACTGAAATTTAATAAAAATAACCAATATATTAAAAGATAGATAATTAATGTAATATTAATTATTGTTAAAAGTTTCAAAAACAAATACTTAAAACAGTATGGCTCTAGTAACTCAAGTGACTTCCTAATGGAATCACAGGATACTTTTTTCAAGTATAACAGAAATTGCTGATATGATTAGTTATCAGCTCCGGATATTTAAAATTTTAATCAAATATCACATTAACTACAACATATAAAAATAATAGATTCTAATTAAATTCACTTAAAATTATGTAGCTAAAACACTAATAAGCACATGTTTAGAAGCAAATATTTATATTTTTAAATGATTCATAATTTTTTTTAAACAGACTATCGCAGACAAGGCACAATGTGCCAGGAAAGGATTCAAGTAAAAATTGATAAAAAAAATAAATAAAAAAATCAGGGGGTTCCTTAGAAAGCGTGATAAGTTCTTAATATTTAAAAGTTACCCCCCNCCCCCCCCCCCCCCACATACAAAAGTAAGAAAATGATAAAGTCAACCTCAGAAATTCTTGTTTACTTATTTAATTATGCTTCAGTTTACTTATTTGATTACACCTGCTACTTTACTACATAACAAGAAATACATCAAATAGATTTCAGAAATGTATATGTATATATTTAAAAAAAAACTAAACTTACTGTTGAGCTTCTTCTTGGTTTTCATAAGTAACTATTGCATTGTAAGTATTTTGTTTGGATCCACCTGATAGCAAAATTAAAAAACTTAATAAAGCATCACCCAGTCACTTAGATATTCAATAAGAGTGTTCAAGTTGTTTACCTTTTTCACATTCTTGAAAATCACACAAATTAGATAAAAAACCGACAAATTCATCCCATTGATATTGTTCTGGTATATTACTTATATGAATTGCATTACTTCTGTTTCTGCAAAAAACAAAGAAACAATTATATATAAACATACCTACAAAAAGGTCCCATAGAAAGGGATACCCTACATAGCTAAAAACAAGGAAAGGAAAAAATCCAGTAGATTTTATGAAATCTCAATTTCATGATAATTGTTTCAAAATATATACTAAATATTTTCCAGTTATGATTTCACATTGAATGATCTTAAGATATTATGCATTAAATTCATCAAAGACAATTAACTGAATAATAAATGAGGCTTACTATAGTATGCATTAGTGACACTTATTTAAATATTCAAGCATGCAATAATCTGTACAAAAATTCTACTTTAATAGGAATTTACTTTAAGGAAACTCAATTTTAGGGAATTTTCTAAAATGTACAAAAGTCGGGATTTTTATTAAACCAAACCAGAAAAAACCGGCATAATCCAGCAGTATACTGTAAAATCCAGTCCAGTTGGCAGACATGCACCTGCCATTCGCAAATCAAGCAACTTTAAAATAACGAGAGAATTTTTTAAAACAGGCTCGTTTAAAATTGTAATGCGGTTAAAAAAATTGTAATGAGAAAAAATATTGTCAGATTGGAAAATATTTGGCAATGAATAATTGAATCAAAATCCTTTTAAATAAATTGTACAAAGATATATGAAAATATTTTAAGCAACTGATTTCTATTATACAAGATTTGATTTCTTCTTCTAAAAATTTTTAATATGCATATGATTCCCAACTTTTATTTTAAAAATATTTCAAAATATAAGGTCACTCTAACAACAAAACAGGGGTAAAATTTAAACTGGCCCTAGGCTTTATGTCAAATAAAACAATTTAGAATTGGGTTAAAATAAGAATTATGTTAATAGTAATGGATAACTGTGCCTTAAGTGTGCATCACTAAGTGAAAATGAGTCCACAATTATTCTTCCAATAGTTTTGTGTCTAGAGTCAGTGCAGGGCAAAATTAGAATATTTTGTTACTGGCTAGTTATAGCATTTTTAACAGTGGCCTCTTTTTCCAAAAATTAAATATTTAAATTAAAATTTTTAATCGCCTCTTCATATATTTAGTTGTCTCAGTTTACTAATTGAACTTAAAAATAGCATTTTGCACTAGATGAAAAGTTAAGGGTTCTCATTCTCTTCACTACTTCATACCAGTGCAAAGCTGGTTTTTCAGCAGTTAATTGTTCTGCATAACAAATGCCACGATAAAAAGTAAAAACATTCGTGTAGCTAAATAAAGCTTTATTTTTATAATTGTGCTATATAGAGACCAGATTTAAAAAATAGTGTAATAAGCAACAAGCTCATCTACCACATTAAGATTAAACGAATGCAGCGGAACACCTACTTTCATACGAACGTATAGTATAATTAAGAATAAAAATTTATAACTTATTAAATTATAAAAAGGCTTCCCAGCGAGACAGCGAAATTCGGACTTCATCCGACACTTATCTCGGACTCTGGTGGACTTAGATTCAAATTGTTTAGGCTCGGACCTCCAAAAGCGAGTCCGAACTCATCTTTAGCGATGAATGGTATTTCCACTTCATATTTTCGCTTAAATATTAATATATTCCGCTTACGCGAATAGCTCACCTACCACATAACACTTACTACATCGTCAATTACGCTAAAAATTATCGAAATTTAACACTAATAAATTAAGCGGTTTTGAAAGACTAAAAGGAAGCACAACAATGTAAATGAATGTTTGTTAGCAATTAACGTTTTGTTGATAATTAAATTTTAACTGCAAGCAATACATTTTAATTTTATAACTGAAAAAAGAGAGCATATCTCTTTTCAGACTATGAAACTTTTCAAAAATATTTGTTTTGATATCTAGATTAAGGACATCTCGTAAAACTTCAAATATTTTTTAAAATGTTTATCATTTTCGATTTCGCTTTTTAAAAAGAATTTAAGAATGACCTGTTTTAACAAAAAAATAACTTTAAAAAAAAAAGTGATAGGTCTGTCAGTAGTCTTAGATTTTTTCTGGTCATTTAAACAAAATTAGAATTGAATAAATTGGAACAAAATTATATAAATGAAACGAATTATGATAATTCATTATCAATTGTTATATATTTTAGAACTAAATTAATTTGATAAATACATTAAAGCATTCAGCATGTTTTGAAAACAAATATGCCTTCAATTAGTAGAGAAACGTTTTTGTTCATTATGAACGCATAGTTTCTCATTGAAATCAATCAAATACACAAAAATTCAATTGCAAAGGTATAGATTTTTATTAGTCAAATCGCCATTACAAACACTCGAATGTTGATTATATCTCGTAAGTCAATTTTGCATTTTTAGCAAATAGTGATTTAAACTATATTATAGTTTAAATCACTTAGTTAGAATCAAATTAGTTCATATATTGAAAATCAGCTTTAATGAAATGTATAGGTAGCTTGAAAAAGTAGTCTAATATTTCGAAGCTAAAAATAAAATATCTACAGGTTGCGTAGCAAAATCTTTCAACAAAAAATAAACACTTCTTAAGCATTAAAAATATTTTAAAGGACTACATACATTAACAAACTGCAAAATAATTTTTAGACTTTACATGAAAATGACAAAATAACTAGTTTTTGACAAAGAACTTTTTTCTTGATTATAGTAGCCACCCTAAAAAGATCGATATTTTCAGTTAAATTTCAGAGGGTGAAAAATGAAGCCTGAAATTGAGAATATCTTGCTAACTGCAGCAGAGTTGCACATGAGAGTGCAAGAATCCCACCAAACCCAGCTCAGTAGACGCACATGCGAACCCGCAAGTGTTTCATCAAACATGTACAATGATTGGCACTTTCATACGCTACGGACCGACGGTGCATAATGTTTGAACGAATTGTAAAGACATTTCATAGAATGTGAAAACCACGCCTTTGCATAATACGTGGCGAAAAAAGACACTGTAAAGAAAGAAATCTCATTTTTGAAAAGTGAAAATTAAGCACTTTTTAAAAACTCCCCCCCCCCCAAAAAAAAGCACCTTTAGGGCTTTTTAAAGGAAAAAAATGTATCGAAAATAAACAAATTTAAAGCACTTTTTAAAAACGCTACGCATCATGATCTATAGGAGGAAATCTTTGAAATTAATTTTAATATTTTAAGAAAGTGAATTTGGATTATTTAAACTTATTGTCATCCAGCAGTTTTAGAATAGTTAACACTAGCAATTCGAAATATGGATAAATCATTGCTTGTTAATTAAAATTTGCATAAAATATCACCCTTACAAAAACATAAGCAAAGTTAAAATGAAAACGTAGTAAAAAGAATGTTTTAAGAAACAGGGCAAAAGTAGAGTTTTTCTCTTCAAAAATAACCTTTGCCAGTGGAATATATTTCAGAAAAATGTAGCAAAATGTTATTTATTTTCTCTAACTTTATCCGTTATTAAAAATGTTAGAAACAGATTTAAAAAAAAAATTAAAACGAAACAATATTTAATGTTTTCACATACATGAGAAATGTTAACGGGTGGATTAGAGTGATTTTTGCTCGAATTATAGCAAAATAAATGAAATGATCGAGTTTAAGATAAATAAACTAAACTAATACAATATTACTTATATTAAGTGCCATGAATTCTATGTTTCACTAATCTTTTAATTTTCCGACTAATTCCAAAAATCCGAAAAATAGAGCGAAACTACCGAACTTTTTGCGGGAAAATTTAAAAACAAGTTATTGCCATTTATTGGGAAAATGGTAAATTACATATCACAAATTAGACGAACGGACCCCGGGCTTTACGGAATTGAAGCACCTATTTTTCTCTTACAAGAGCTCCGGTCTAGCATTCCAAAATTGGCACATTAACGTTGCCTGAACCGAGTTTGGGCGTCTCAGGACAAGGAGTTAAAAAGGGTTTTAGTTTAAAATTACAAATTAAAGACGTCTTAAACTATTTTTTTTTAATACGTTGAATGTCATGGGCGTCACCGGCAAAAGTATAATAACAAGCAAATAATGGTACAGTAAAAGCTCGGTGTAACGAGTACGGTATAGTGCGTGAAGTCCGCTATAACGACAAAATTTCCAAGTCCCCGCCAAATACTAATACATAAACAAAACAAAAATTTTGTTTATTGGAAGTTAAAAATTGTAGCCTTATCCGTTATCGTTACAATTTTGAAGGAAATCTATTTATCTGCTGATTAAAAGCAAGCAAAATTACAGGAAAAAGAGAAAAATGCTACATTTATTTAGATCTGGTATCATTTGTCAACTGATTCATGGGAGGGGGTATGCAGCTTCTGTTGTCCAAAGACCGGAGCACCGTGAGGTAGAAGACTGTCTTGGCTCCTGGTGGTGTTCTTTTTAGTCTGGCACCTACCCTTCGGCCTGTCCGGCTTGGGAGACCCTACCAGTAGCAAGCTACCTCCGGCATAGCCCTCCGGGTCATTGGTGCGCTCAAGCCTCACCGCCCCGTCAAGGCAGGAACACCATCTGGAGGTTATCTTCATAGCAATCTTAGTACTTGCTTGGATCTTTCCAATGTTAGTTTCCATGAAAGCCTCCCTACCATGCTTGACAAGAAAGACTGTGTGCCTGACTTCCTCAGACAATTGTCCCTGGAAATCATCAATAAAATCCCTCCAAACGACATCAAAATATTCTCTGATGGCAGTAAAATAGATAGACAGACTGGCAGTGGGGTATTTATTGAAACACCTCGAGAGAACTACACTCTTCATCAACGAAACCCCGATTTCTGCTCCGTCTTTCGAAGCGAACTAATTGCAATCGACAGGGGACTAGAGAAAATCTTGAGTGAAGGGCACCTTGGAAATACTTGGATACTATCTGACAGCCGTAGTTCAATTCAACACCTCAAAAATTGGGCCCTCATTGGAGATAAAACCAGTTTTTCGATCTTACAAAAAGTAAAGCTCATTTCCCAACAGCATGAGGTCCACTTTCAATGGATCCCGTCCCACGTCGATATCCACGGCAACGAGTTGGCTGACACTCTTGCAA